CTGACACAGCTACCTTTGTTTGAGAGTTGTTTATTCCTGCTCCGACAGCAAACCCCCTTCTGTCTACACTATGGGGCTATGCTGGTATAGTGTCTGTAGTACAGATGTACCCAGAGAAAGAGAGAGCCTGAACGAGTGCTCAGAACGAGAGCAGAGCTGGGCTCAGAGCTTCAGGGAAGGGATGCCCCTGAAGGAGGGAGCGGTAACAGTTCCCCAGTGAGCAGTGGCGCCAGATCAGGCTGGTGAAAGCAGAAGACACGGAGGCAATCAGGGGCTTACCTACAATCTTTCCCAGGCCAGAAAGTCACCTCCAGAGAGGGCTGGAAAAGGAGATGCCTGCTGGCTCTCTGAGTCAGACAGCTGAAGTCCAAGGATCAGAGAGGACTGACGGCTGGGGACTGGATGACCCTGATGATGTCTCCAGCCAGGAACTAGAGACAGGCCTGAGAATGAACCAGGGCAGAGAATACCCCAGCAAGAAGGGCTGGGGGGAGACATGGTGAGAGATGCTGGAGCCATACCTGAGAGCCTGAGCACAGTGAGAGGTGCCGGAGCTGTACTTGGTATGTTGACAGACTGTTGGGACTTGAAGATTAAATGCAGTGTTTGGGCTATGCTGGGGAATTCTGGATTATGGTTGTTTGACTTTTCTAATAAATTAACCCCACAAAGGAATATTTATATTTGGAAAGCTTGTGTAGAGTTACTGGGGACTCTGGAAGAGGGAAATAGAGGAAGGGGCTGCATGCAGGGCCACCCTGAGGACACAAGCGGGCATCCTGGAGATGGCCACTCTTTCATATTGTCTCACAAGGTCACATTCTTCTCTATAATTAAATACTGAAGAAATGCCTCGAGTAGAGGATTTTGCTGAGCTGGAGGTAACTTTTGTGCATGACACCTAATGTGAAGGCTCTGACTGTTCACTGTAGGCTCATAGAAAATCCCATAGGACTTTCTCTCTAATAGTGTTAGAATTTGATCCAACTTCCTTTAAAGTCAGTGGATCCCAAACTCATAATATCCTAGTATAATTCCAACCTCAATATTTATATGCTAAAAAATTCCTTGTAGTTACACAAGAACTGTTATACCTAATCAGACCCATAGCCCATCTAGTTCAGTATCCCATCTCTTGCAGGAGCCATCACAGGATTCTTCAGATGAAGGTACAAGAACCCGGCTATAGACAGATACAGGATAATCTTCCCACCACATTATGTTTCATTGTAATCTCCAATAATTAGAGGTTGCCTTAAGCCCTGAAACATGAGGTTTAATATCTCTTTCAAAATCTTTGTGAGCATTAGCTGTTATAAACTCCAGATATTCTTTTTATCTATATAAATGTTCAATCTCTTTTTGAAATTTACTAAATTCTTGGCCCCTATGGCATCCTGTGGCAATGAGTTCCAAGGTCTAATTCCACATTTTATGAAAATGTATTTCCCTTATCGGTTTTGAATTTGCCACCTTCCAATTTCATTGAATATCCCCTTTGTTCTTACTTTATGCGAACAGATGTTCTCAGGCTACCTTCTCTATAGCATTTGTTGTTTTATATATTTTTATCATGTCCCCTCTTAGTTGTCTCCTTTCTAAGGTAAACCACCCCAGTCTTTTCAATCTCTCTTCATTAGTTTTTCCATAACCATGCTTGCCTCCCTTCTCTGAACCCCGTGCAATTGTACAATATCCTTTTTGAGATGTGATGACCAGTATTGCACAGAGTATTCCTGATGAGACTGCACCACTGATTTACATAAAGGCACTATAGTATTTTCCTCATTGTTCTCAACCCCAATCCTTATGCATCCTCTCATTTTGTTTGCTTTTCTAACCAGAGCTGCACACTGAACAGAGGTCCTCATTGAGCTGTCTGTGATTCCCAGCTTCCTTTTCTGAGTTGATACACTTAATTTAGAACCTTGTAAGGTATATGAATAACTTATATGTTTTTCCTTCCAGTGTTCATTACTCTGCATTCATGACATTAAATTTCATTTGTCATCATGTTGCCTATTCACCTAGCTTGGTTAGGTCCCTCTGAAGTTCTTCACAGCCCTTTCTGTTCTTCACTAACGAAAATAATTGTCATCTACAAATGTTGCTACCTCACTGCTCACTGTCCTTTCCAGCTCGTTAATAAATATATTAAACATGGGACAGTGAGGATGCTTGAAGCATCCCTCTGTAAACGTTTTTCCAGGATGAACATTGACCATTCTTCTTCTTTTGGATGGAAATAGCAACATTAACATAGTTAGTGGAAAGGTTTGAAATCCATTTGAGGACTTCAGGAGATGCCGAGTGCATGTGTGCGATACCTTCTGGAAATGAAAAAATGTTCACAATGTGTTTGATGGTTTGGAGGTCTCCGCATTCACACAATGTCAAAACCTTGATTCCCCATTTGTGCATCAGGTGCATGCATCTTCCATGTCATGTCCTAATATAGTTGGTGGTCGTCCCACTGTCTTCAGCACAGCAAGAAACCAGACACTTTGATGATGAGATCAGCTATGAGGTTGTTTACGTCAGAACCTGCCCATTGCCTCCACCAGGTGTCTTATGGATTGAAGTTGGCTTCTCCAACCACCCAGAATGGTCGGCGGGACTTAGAGCGAGGGTGAGGAGGGTGAACAAGGTTATCATGGTGCGGGAGCTTTTGGTTACCAAGAGCTTTCTTGTACGCAGACAATGTAGCCATCTCTCACCGGATGGTGGAGGAGGGATGTTAGCAAGGACTGGAACCAAGGCAGTGGAGAGGACTTCAGGGTGCCAGTTACAAGTCTCATAGCTGGATATCAGTGAGACCCATGTGTGAGCTTCTTTCCTACACAGTACACAGTACTCGGCTGTGGAATAAACTAAACCAGTGTTGCCATTCGAAGCATTTGAGCATCACAACCCCAGCTAGATCCTGCTAGCTTTTTGGATGATATTGGTGCAACACTTCGTTTTATGACTCACCTGTTTCAGATGTTGTTGATAGGTAAGGCTGCAATCGAGGGTGACTCCTAGATAGCAGGGGTTCAGATTGTGAGTGATTGTCTTGCCACAGAAGTTTGCATTCAGCATCTTCTTCGCTTTGGAATTGCTGAGATGGAAAGCTGATGATGCTGTTGTTAATGGGTTGGGTTTGAGCACCCAGTACCTAAAGTAGTTTTCCATCCTCTTGACCATTTAATCCTACTCTTTGCTTTCTGTCTCCTACCTGTTTTTTGATCCATGACAGTACTTCCCTCTGACTCCATGACTAGGTAGCTTCTTTAATAACCTCTTGTGTGGGGACCTTGTCAAAGACCTTTTGAAAGTCTACATAAATTGTTACTGGTTCTCCTTTATCCAGTATTCTATTGACATGTTCAAAGAATTCAAATATATTTGAGAGACATGATTTTCCTCTGCAGAAACTGTGTTGGTTAGACCCTATCATCTCATGATCATTTAGGCATTTATTATTTTATTTTTAATTATCATTTCAATCAACTGACCACGTACAGATGTATGGCTTCCAGGACTGTAATCTCCCATATCACCTCTATAGCCATTTAAAAATACAGATACAGCATCTACTACTCTCCAATCTTCTGGAATAATGGGTGTTTTATTGAGAGACTGCCAATTTTTGTTAGCAGCTCAGCCACTTCACATTTAAGCGCCTTCAGAACTGCTGGATTTATACCATCTTGTCCTGATGATGTACTTCTTTTTAAATTACTGGTTTGTTCCAGCACCTCCTCTTCAGACACTGCAGTTTGGTTCAACATCATAGGGGGAGGTAAAGTACCTGCAGGCTTCATGCTTCCGATATACTTTTTAAAAAAAAGTCTTATTGTTTGTTTTTATACTTTTAGCTATTTGCTTTTCAAAATCCATTTTGTCCCTTCTATTTTCCCTCTTATATATTGCCTGCTGTCATTTGTGCCCCTGTTTACTGGCTTCACTAGGGTCAGAGTTCCAAATTTTGAAGGATTTCTGTTTGGTTCACATAGCCTCTTAAACCTTGCCATTGGCTTGCTCTTTACCTTTCTAGTTCCCTCTTTGTTTGGTGGAATACATGCCTTCCGAGTCTCTATTGCTGTTTTTAAGTAATAGCTATGCCACGTGTAAGGATTTTATTTCCTTTATTTTTGATTTTAGGGGCTTTTTGACTAGCCATCTTATTTGATTGAGTTGTCCCTTTCTAAAGTTTATCATCATTGTGTAACCTTTTGGTTCTTTACCTCCTCCTAGGATGCTGATGAACCTATTTATATTGTGGTCACTATTAGTAGCTCAGCAACTGTTGCTTCTTGAACTAACTCCTCTGTGTTACTTAAGACTCAGCTGAGAATAGCCTTTCCTCTGACGTGCTCTTGCACTAGCTGGTCCAAGAAGCACTCACTTAAGTTGTCAAGAAACTCTTTCTCTAAATTTTACGCTATTCTTTGCTTTCTGCCTTCGCTAATAATACCTCCTTACCTGGAAGAGACATTGTGAAAATTCATTTATTAACATATGTGAGGAGTCCAGGTACTATGGTGATGAGCACCATATAAAAACCTATAAATAATTTAAAATAAACAAATAATATAAACTGTTATGTAGTGTTGCTGTTGCTGGTAAGCATATGCCACATTCCCCGCCCCATACATGGATGCATTTCACTGTTGGGTTTTCTGCACCATGTAAAGCGTATTGAGGCTAGATATGTTTAGATAAAAGGTTAGGGTGACCAGAAGTTCCGATTTTATAGGGACAGTCCCGATTTTTGGATCTTTTTCTCACATAGGCACCTATTACCCCCCACCTCCTGTCCCGATTTTTGACACTTGCTATCTGGCCAGCCTATAAAAGGTGCTGTACAAATGTACTAAATAATATTTAAACATAAAACTCATTTACTTATTAATACCTGAATTAATAAGGAACAATATTTGTAACTGCTGAAAAATAAGAATTATTTTTCTACAATGTTATGATGCTATCCTTGGCTTTAATATTTCCTATGACAGGTGTCATCACAAGAGGACGGCTGGGCCTTGTGGAAATCATCCACCAGTATGTTCGTTATGATGAGATATCTGAGGCGATTAGTGTCCTGAGCAGCATGAACTGGGACACTATGGGTCATCAGTGTCACATAAGCATGAGTGCCATTGTAAATCACCTTCTTAGACAAAAGCTGACACCAGAGAGAGAAGGTCAGAGTTTGGTTGTATTTCATAAATGTTTATACTTATATTTTAAAATCTATACTTGAATGATTTTGATAATACATATTGGCTTTAGAAAGAAGACTCAATATTTACTAGGTCCTGACTAGTCAGAATTATGCTTTGCTATTCTACAATCAAATGTCATTATTATATAGATATTTTTAATAAGATTATGCACACACATAAATTGCATTTTAATTCATGTTAATAGTAAGGAAGGTGTAATAATACATATATTACATAATATATACACATGCATAAATATATATTGTATGATCTATATTATCTTTGATATTTATATGAAACTATATGATCAGTAATTTTATCTATTATATCTATTAATTATATCTATCTAGATATCTAGATATCTAATCTATCTATGATCAGTACTTTTATCTAGATAGATAGATAGATATCTAATCTATCTATCTATCTGTCTAGGGATAGATAGATAGATTAGATATCTTTACATTGAAATCAGTGACTAATGTTGGCCAGTACAGAAGTCAATTATTTATTTTATATCAATATTTAAAACGGGCACCAAATTAAGGAAGGGCGTTGTCATGGGGAGGGGACAGGAGTATTTAGTTCAGTTTGGGGGTATTTGCAAAAAGCACGGTCTTTCAATGCAACATCCAGTGTCTTTCCACACTCCTACAAACCATAGGACCACTACACCTCCACTCACTGTAACCTCCCTGTCCCCTGCAGTGATTCCTGACATCTCCCACACGAAAGGATGAATTTAAGGTTCAGCCTCATCTCCGCTAGACCCTGATGGCTTCCCACTGAATTGTGTATTGGAATGCAACAGACTCAAAAATTTAGAGTGCAACAGTTGAGTGACAAGGTGTCATGCCATGGCCCAGCAAGAATACAGCTGCGTACCAGGCTTATCTTTTATATGGGAAGAAAAGCCAGTGCTATTGGAGGTGGTGAGCTATAGATCTTAGGAAAATTGTAAGCTGCCCAGCTTGCTCTCAAACCATCAGTTGGCCATCCCTGTTTTACAGCATGAGATGTGAGTTAGATTACCATAACCTCCACTCTACAAATGTGCAGCACTAAAATCTTGTCTTAATAGAACACACTTTTAAAGTAACCAGTGAAAAAATAGGCTATTCTTGAAACTGTTATAAAAATATGCACATTCTAAATAGATATCTGTGTATTTTCTCCCCATGCAGCTGCCTAATGCTGTCTTACGACAGGCAGAATTTTATTCCAGCCTGGATTTATTCTATATGAATCTAACAAATTTGACATGGTAATTTGTTTTCTTTTTATTAGTGGAACCTAGTGAGCCCTTTTATTTGTAGCAGTGTGGCGGTTATCTTTGAGATCTTTATTTCTGCCTTCAACATCAAGCTGGGCTATCTAATGAATCTATAACTGTGCTAGTAGTTACCCATATTCCATGTAGGTTGGCACATTTCAGAAGTACAAAACATGCTGTCAGGAAAACAGCAATAGCAAGAGAGTATGACTTGTTTTCGCAATAGCATTGCTGTATTCAATTTTAATCTAAATTGACTGCTGCTTTGAAAGAAAATACCTTTAAGGTTTATCTTATCTTACTGTTTAGATTTAAGATAATGTAAAACCTAATTTACTAACACTTTGCCTATGTTTATAAGGCTGTATTATTAGAGCATTTAGTGCTGTCAAACCTAATAAAATAAAATGTAACTATGCTTAGAACTAAAGAACCGTTATCACTAAATACAGAAATGGCTAGTTCAAACAAAAGTTAATAGCAGGAAATCAATGAGATTTTGTCCGCCTAATGAGACAATGGGTCAAGTATACTCTGTTTTAATGCACACACCCCACTCCACCTAATAATAATGGGGTTTGCAAATCCACCTTGACAGGAGAATCTGTCCCAGTGTATCAAATTCTTTCAGTGATTTGAGAAAAATGGAGGCTTTCATCAATCATTTTGCCCTATACTTAGGAACATATACCTCGCACTGACTCCCAGACAACAATCACATCATATAATGACGTTAATGTTACTCATCATTAAAGTAGCCCCACCAAGACACTTAGGACACAAACACTTTAAATAATTATAAATAATGGAAGAAAAACACTTTATGTTAAAAAATATAAAAAGCCAAAGTGCCATTGTCAAAAAAGGGGGACTCACAAAAAATTCTTCTGTAGAAGAAGGGCTTCATTACCTTCTCACTTCTAATCATTTTAAACCAGTGCAACTCCCTTGACTATGGTGACCACCTAGTGGTCAAACGCACAGTGGTGAACCCTGAAAAGGTGAGCCTCATTATTCTTTCTTTAGTAGAAAAGTTAATTGGAAGTTGATTTTTACTGATGAACTTGTTCAAACTGTATTGTTCGTATGAGTCACTGTTTTAATTATGCATATCTGGCAAAAGGTTGGTTCCTTATAGATTACTTACCTTTTGACAGCTTTTGGTTGCTCATAGTCTTTGTCAACGCTACGCCATGTGAAAGTTTATACACAGGTTTGTTTTTGTACCAGCTGTCGTATTTTAATTTCATCTTTCCTGTGACAAGCTCACATTTCATCAGTGTTTGAGAAACCTGACGGATGGCAAACATGAGCAACCTGTTGTAATTGAAGCAGTTTCACTTGTTTCATTGCTGCTGTGTTTGAACTCCACAGCACAGCTTGAAGCAAGCCTTGGAACCTTTTATGCTCCAACAAGACCCCTGTTGGATACGACTGTGTTGGAATATAGAGACCCAATCAGCAGATATGCAAGAAGGTTCTTCCACCACCTGCTCAGGTGATTGACAGCTTCAACTTTTATTAACTCAAATTAATTGCACATTTCAATAACCGCCCACTTTAATGTGGTTAACGTTTTCCAAAAGGACCACCCTGGAAAAAAATGCATTCATTGCCATTGTTTATTTAGCTTGCACTTCATTCCTTTCAAGTATTATGTTGTAGATAAAGTGCTACTTAGAACTCTTCTATCATCAATACACTTTAAAATGAATCAACCTTTCCCTTTTAATTTGATAGAAAGAAGGAAGTATGCTTACAGAGCGATTTATGGGCAGGCTACTTTTAGACTAACAATTGGAATAGCTTACAAACTAGGAAGAAACATTGAGTTTTAATTGATGCTAAAAAATGCAAATGAGCAGTGTGCAGTCCAAGATATTTTTGGCTTTGAGCCCTGGAAATCTGAGTCTCTTGTTCTTCCCACCTTCAGATTTCTCACTTACGAAATAATATTCCAGGTCATAACCTTACTGCCCAGGTTATTATTTGAATAATACAACCTTCAATACAGTTTAAGAAACTAAATTCAGTTTCAGCCACAAGAATAAAGGAGTAAGAAAAAATGTTGCTGTGACTTGTAATTCATACAGTGATTTCAAAATGTCGCAAAACCAAATTTAGCTGTGGTTCTATAACATTGATATACTGCTAGAGTTTTGATCAATAATAAATTAACGGCCTAGGTTTTTTTGAATGGCTATAAATGTTAGCATAGAAATGCAACTGAAATTTTGACTCTGTTTTTTCCTTAGAAGCTATTCAATTAATGCAAATAAGGTAGAAATTCTTTGCCTTGGTGATAAATAAGAAAGTTATACCACATTTTTATACAGGGGTCTGCCTGAAAGAATAAGACTCACATGCTTAAAAATGAAAGCACCCATTTTCCATGTCTCATTAGAATTATATGTCTCCCTACATATGCAAAATTATGAACTGTCAATTATTTTGAAGGTAAATTTAACCTCTTATCAGAACTCAAAGAGATAATTGTCTTCTAAAACTGGAAAGCTGAAAAGGGATAATCTTTATACTAAACTAGTCCACAAAAGGGCCAAGGGAATGTTTCTAAATTGATGAAATTTCATAATATTAGCATTATAATATGATGCTTTAAGGACAGAATCTTCAACCGAGTTCATTGCCAGATACAGTTATGGTGTTAGGTACAAATTGTGTCCTTGCTCTTCAGAGAGAAGCAGTGGGGAGGATGCAGTGCTATAATGGCCAAATGGAGGTGCTCTGGGCGATTTTGTCTGCACAGAGCAGATACAGAAAGAATGCCTCAGAGATTGCTGCGAGGTGCTCTTTATAGCTGCTGGTGAAAGGTGTATCCTCTCCGACTTGAGAGCTTGCTGCCAAATGCTATCAGGCATGCAGAGGCATGGGGCCCTGACTAAGCTCTCAACCCTTGAGGCTGTAGAGCATGGCTGGGTGCAGTGAGCCAATCTCTCCTCCTCCCACCGCCACCCCCACCTCAGCAATCAGGGAGCCTCAGTGTCAGTATGTTGCCTGGAAACTGTGGTGTGGGGGCACAGGATGGACAGGAGGCTTTCCCTGTGTGCTGTACCTCCCCCACCGGACAAGACAGAATGTAGCCCTTAATCAGTTCTGGAATTCCTATTCCTAATACTGTAGTGGCTTGTGGAACAAATGCATGCTATTTTGTTGTCTTCCTATTGTCAATAGGATTTGTATTCAGTGGAATCCAAGTGATATGATCATGTGATTGTTGGCAGAACAGATGGTAATGCTTTATCTGAAAAGACATAATCTAAGTACAGAATGAAATGTTCAGAAATGGGAGCTTTATCTGATAGAAAGCAAAAAACCAGTGTCCATAGCTGATCTTTATGATCTTTATTTTATTAAAGTGGTTCTGTCTTAATTGGTGTTTATTTCCTGCTTCCTTTGAGATGTTTCATTAAGTGGCTAGAAATGATTTGATTGTATGCTAAATGTAACCTGTATTATAGATTTAAAGTAACACTGGTAAACCAACTTGATCACTTGAGATCATTTAGACATAAAAAGGGTATGTCTACAGAGCAAACTAAGCCTGAAGTCTGTGTGACCCATGCCTGCAGACTCAGTATTTCCAAGCCCAGACTTGAGCATCCACACTGCATTGGAAACCTGATCCCCACAATGGTGCTGATGCATCCATACTGCACTGCGCAGACCTGAGTCAGAATTTCAGCTTTTGTGAGTGTGAACCATCGTATCCCAGGGTTCTAGTGCCCTTACCAGCCAAAGCCGCTCTAGGGCTTGGTTTGTAGTGAGTCGTGGGAAAATTTGTCTGTCCATCCCATGGGAGTTGACCAGAATTGTTTTGAGTAGTTTTAGCCTACCTGCACATCCAGTCAAGCTATTTTGTATCCACATGCTCCCAGCAACCGGAGCCATCAACATGGATCTTGAGCCAGTGGAAGAACTTCTCCATCTTATGCTGCCAGTCCTATTTTGGGAATTAGGCAGAGCATCTGCAAGACATTGATGGACATTTCGGCGGCATTTAGGAGGGGGATACCGACATTACAGCCTGTTGCCTTAGCCACAGATTTCCCATATGTAGACCAGTGCTTCTGGAGCAGGGCCACAAGCACCGACTGGTGGGATCACATCATCATGTGGACCTGCAATGACCAACAGTGGGTCCGGCACGTTGACATGAAGTAGATGTTCCAGGAGGTTTGGGATCGGCTTGCCCCAACTCTTCAGCAACAGGACATCCTCATGAGGGAGGCCACAGAAATCCAGAAGCAGGTCGCTATAGCCCAATGGAAGCTGGCTACCCCACACTGCCACAAGTCTGTGGCTAACCAGTTTGGAGTTGGCAAATCAACTGTGGGCGTTGTTGTGGCAGAGGTTTGTGAGGCAATCAGGACTGTGATGTACCCAAAGGTGGTGGGCATTACAGATGTTCCTGAAATAATTGCTGGCTTTGAGTGAATGGGCTTTCCAAACTGCGACAGTGCCATTGATGGATCTCATGTGCCTGTAGTTTTCCCTCTGCAAGGAACACATGAGTAACTAAACTGCAAAGGGTACTACTACATCATTATGCAGGCCCTGACCACAGGGGCAGATTCATGGACACTAACGTGGGATGCACTAGCAGGGTGCATGATGCCAGGATATTTAAGAGATCAGGACTTTACCTTCCTGGACAAACTGGGCCATTGTTCTCACCACATGACATTGTTATAAATAGTCACTGTTCTCTCTGTTATTCTAGGGAACCCCACTTACCCCCTGTTGCCGTGGCTTATAAAACTGTACCCTTATTTCAGAGGACCTGACAAAAGGAACTTCAACTATATGCTCAGTAATTGTAGGATCATGGTAGTAGAATGTGTATGTGACAGATGGAAATCCCATTGTCACTGCCTTCAAAACTGTCTGGATACCAGTGTCATTAGTGCAGTTCACATTACTGTGATCTGCAGTGTTTTGCACAGTGTCAGCAAGAAAAAGGGGGAACCTTTTAGCCAGGAGTGGACTCAAGACACTGTCAGATTTCTGAATGGTACACGCAGCTAGACAGTGCACCTGTTGTGATTGGTGCTGGATCTACATGCACAGTGGAAATCAGGGATGCTTTGTGCACGCATGCAGTGGGTTTATATGGTCCCGTACATGAGGCGGAATTAAACGGTATTTGGGGTAGTGCTGTGTTATGGGTGTGGGGCAGCTGAAGGATGTTTTTTAAATGTGCTGATATTGTGTATTGTGAATTTTGTGAGATTTGTAGTGAGGAGGCAAGGGCCCTACGAAGTCCTTCGCCAAGTCAGGCCTGTCAACTACGAGATAAACCAGCCGGGGCGGCGGAAGAAGTGCCAGATTTACCATGTCAACCTCTTAAAGGCCTGGCGCAATTGGGAGAGTCTGTTGACAACCTTGGATGCCCTGGACTCTGAGCTAGGACCTCAGGCCTCTATTCCAACAGGGCAAGAGGAGCCTCTCCTTGGCGAATCTCTCAACCCCGAGCAAATAAAACAGACCAGATGCTTGCTGGAAGCCTTCTCCGAAATGTTCACAGTGGTGCCAGAGCAGACGCAACATGTCCAACACACCATCCGTACCCCACTGGGGGAGGTAATATGAGATACCACCTGACTGCTCCCTCGTTGACTGTGGCAGGCTGTGAAGCAAGAAGTACAAGCCATGTTGGAACTAGGGGTCATAGAACCCTCCAAGAGTGGGTGGCAGAGCCCCATCGTCCTGGTTCCCAAGCCAGACGGGACCCAAAGATTTTGTATTGATTTCCAGAAAGTTAACACTATTTCTAAGTTTGATGAGTACCCATTGCCCCGAGTCGACAAGCTCTTGGACTGATTGGGTGACACCAGCTATCTGACCACCCTGGATCTTACAAAAGGATACTGGCAGATCCCGCTGGAAGGCAACTCAAAGGAAAAAACCACCTTCGCTACACCCAGCAGGCTCTACCAATTTACCCACATGCAGGGGCCCCTGCAACGTTCCAACAGTTAATGGACTGACTTCTTCAACCACACCTCGAATATGCCGCAGCCTATTTGGACAATGTGGTGATCGACAGCCGATGCTGGGAAGAGCACCTAAACCAGGTGGCAGCCGTCTTGCGGTCCCTCTGGACCACAGGTTTGATGGCTAACCCCAAGAAACGTCGAATCGGCTTCCAGGAGACCATACGGGGAGACAGGAAAAGGTGGATACTTTTATGCATCTTAACTTTAAATGCTTAGACATTTCTAGGTCTGAAACTGAAAATGATTCACGTAGACAATTGTTCATCTCTTTTGCTTCCCCTCCCCACAGTGTGTCCCAAGTCTTGTCTGGCGGTGACCTCTTTTTGGAGAGTTATAGTAGCTCAGCCTACACGCCAAGGCAATTTTTGGCCTGGCTGAGGGGAGTGCCACAAAAGGGGCCAGTTGCGGTAGAAGTTTTATGATGCAAACGCCAGCGTTCCTGGAATCGGGACTAAGATTGCCGTCTCAGACAGGCCACCAA